ATCCCGGGGTGGGTCTGCGCCTGCGCCTGCGCCTGCACGGGGGTCCGGTGTCCACCCCAAAGCAGCTGAGTGCCAGTTACGAGAATGTGGGAAAACCCCTTGTGGCTCCCGGGGGCACGGGGGTCCGGTGTCCACCCCAAAGCAGCTGAGTGCCAGTTACGAGAATGTGGGAAAACCCCTTGTGGCTCCCGGGGGCCACCCAAGGCGCTGGCAGGGGTCATCACGCACACGCACGCACCGGTAGGCTGACCGTTCTCTCATTCGCTCTTCCAAAGGGCCATTTCTCCCCCCATTCTTTTTCTTTTCTTTTTAGAGAGATTTTTGTTCACTGGAGAGACAGACAGGGAGAAATTTCCCCCCACACCCTCTCCCCATACGGCCATGCTGCAATCCCTTCTCCATTCCCCTCTCGGGATTTTGGGCACGCAGTTGCAAGCCTCTGGGTCCAGACTTGAACCGCGGTCACCCATGTGAGAGTCCCGTGACGTAACCTTTACGTCATTTGCTGTTCCCTCTCTCCCCATTCTTTAGGTTGGAAAAGAAACCCCCAATGTGTGTTTTATTTATCTTATTTTTTAATTCTTTCTTTTATTTCGGTGTCACCGCCCTCCAGGGCTGAACATTGGCCCGTGACCTAGGTCACGTCTCCCACGTGGCGGAGGAGCATCGTCGCCAGGCCCCATGGTGTGCGCAGGGTACAGAGCTGCGGGCCAGCCAGGACGAGCCGATGACGTCAGCGCCCCCCCGCCCATCCTGCAGGTGACATTCGCAGCGCCAATGCCATGGTCACCTTGCGCACTAGTCAGGGCTTGCTTGGGAAAGAAGGTTCTGGAAAGTATTCAAGCATTACTCATCTGCAGGCTTTTTCTTCACCCTATAAATTTAGATTCTCAAACCATTACTCTCAAGACCCGTGGTTTTATTTCATTTACCCGGATTGAGGAAGGAAACCGGGGCGGGACTGGCTGAGTAGGCTCCTGGGGGTTGCTAGGCAGTTTAAACAAGGCTTATTTGGCTTTACTCACTGGCTCATGGGCCAGAGGTAAGCTATGTGACTCAGTGGCAAGCAAAAACACCTACGGGCTTGTGGCTTTTTAAAACTTTTTAGTTAATTTTTTTTTTCTTGGAGCTAGCAGGTGGTGTGGAGGTTAAGGCACTGGATCCCACATGGCTGACTCTGGAGTTCCAATCCTGACCCGGAAGCTTAAAAAAGCAGGCTGGGTGAGTGCATGTGCATGCACAGTCCCGAGAGGAGAATGGAGAAGGCCATCCCCCTGGGGGTGAGTTCTCCCTTTTCCTCTCTCTCTCTCTCTCTCTCTCTGGTAAGTGCACACGTCCTATGGCAAAATCACAGTGCACATGAGAGAGAAAAGCACCGTCCAGGGTCTGGTCGCACTACTATCCCCTCCCTCCAGCCCTGCAGCCCAGGCAACCTTGGGCACTCACACGAGCCCGCGTGTTTGGGGCTGATGGAGCTGGGGACGGGAGGCCACCGTGTGGGGTCCAGCTGTCCTTCATTAGCACATGACTGCTGTACCATGGAGCCCGTCCCCTGTTTTTAAAGAATAAAGCCTCGTCTCACACACACACTGCTAATGTTGCCACTTTTCTCACGTCTATCAGAGCTTGGAAAGCACCCACGGTTGGACGAGGTCAGCTGCTAGTTCCAAGGTTGTCACTGGGTCCA